AAAAAAAAAAAAAAGAGTTGCACCAAATTGCCCAAGTTGGCCACATACTTAGAATCCTAGCCTCAGCTTCCCAAGTAGTTGGGGTTTACAAGTGTGCACCCAGTTAAAAATAATCAAATTTTGGTCTGGGAATGTGGCTTAGTAGTAGAGTGCTTATTTAGCATGAATGAAGCCCTAGGTTCAATTGCTTAGTATCACATAAACAGAAAAGGTTGGAAGTGGCTAGCCTTGAACAAGAGAAACTCAGGGACAGTGCCCAGGCCCTGAGTTCAAGCCCCAGGACTGGCAAAAAAAATAAATAATAATAATGTTTTAAATTTCATTTTATTACCGCAAAAACAGGATATTCTTTTATCTTTTTTGCAAAAATTAATTTCTAGGGACTAAAGATATGGCTCAAATGGTAGACTGCCTACCTAGCAAGTCCCTGAATTCAAACCCTAGGACAGTTCAAAACTTACACCTGTAAGTTCCCTCTTGTGTGTCTATGTTTAGGTATCTTAGATCCCAGATGTCCATGATGCATCTAGGACTTGAAAGGGAGAATAATTGAGACTACCACCAGTACTTTGGGCTATAAAACCTGATGTAGTCTGTCATTATCTTTGTGTTCTTGTTGGGATTTTTTTGTTTGTTTGCTTTTTAATTATTTCTGCCTATACTGGAGCTTGAACTAGGGCCTCCTCTTTTCCCTTAGCTTTTTCACTCAAGGCTGGCACTATATCACTTGAACCACATTTCCACTTCTGGTGGAAAGTCTCATGGACTTTTCTGCATGGGCTGGCTTTGAAACTCAGTTCTCAGATCTCAGCCTCCTGAGTAACTAGAATTACAGGCATGAGCCATTAGTGCCAAGTTGTCTTTGTATTCTTGACTCCGAGTGAAATTTTTGCCTGCCTCCAAATAAAATAATAAAATGGGGAAAAATGCAGAAGCACTAGATAATAAAAATGAAAAAACATTTACTGTATCTTTTGTCTTTGTTTTTTTGTTGTTGTTGTTTTTTGTCAGTTGTGGGGCTTGAATTCAGGACCTGTGTGCTTGTCCCTGAGTTCTTTTGCTCAAGTCTAGCGCTCTGCATCTTTGATCCACAGTTCTGCTTCCAGTTTTCTGGTAGTTAATTGGAGATAAGAGTGTCACAGACTCTCTTGCCTCGTCTGGCTTTGAACCTCAGTCCTCAGAGCTCTGCCTCCTGAGTAGCTAGTATTATAAGCATGAGCCACCAGCACCCAGCAACTGTGTGTTTTTAGCTGTAAAACACAACTTCAATTCAACTTGTCAATTTATGATCAGTGTTACCCCTTTCATTGCCTTCTTCATCTCTCCCAACCTTACCCATACTCTGTTGTATGTTATATGTTTTTATTAACTGTTATTGTCCAAATACTATGTTCTATGTATTTCTTTCCAAAGCCATTAAGCCATGGATAGCAGCTGGAAGCAGGGTTGGCTTGTTCCAATAAATAAACTGAATATTACACCTAACAATATCTGGCTCACAGCATCTAAATTCAAATTTCAGTTCACTGGCTTTAAGTGAACTTTCATTGCAATTAATGTCAGCATGGAAGCTGAGTATAAGCAGGTAAATGTTGTACAGAGAATTTTTTAAATAGTGACCTAATTATGAATCTTTTCTTCCTTTACCAAAGGCCATTGAACATCCAGTTCGAACCAATCAGATTCCACGTCAGATTCCTGAGCAGTCATTTTACACAAAGCCCTTGCCTGGTATTATCATGGGAGGGATTTTGCCCTTTGGTTGCATCTTCATACAGCTTTTCTTCATTCTGAACAGTATTTGGTAAGCTGAAGACAGAGTCTTCTTATTTTTATAACTATTGTATATAGAATATGATATTTGCTTTTTATTTATAGATTACTATTTGTATCTTCTAACTGTAAGCAGTTATAACCAGAAATGGTAAGAGTCAAAAGGTTGTGTTATCTCTTGTGGGATAAAAGAATAATAGTGATAATAGCTTTTTTTTTTTTTTTTTTAGTCCTATGGCTTGAACTTAGGACCTTAGCACTATCCTGAGTTTTTTGCTCAAGACTAGCACTCTACCACTTGAGCTACAGATTTACTTCTGTTTTTTTGTTTTTGTTTTTGTGGTGAACAATTTTATTACTCATGTGCTATATGACAGACTAACCTCAGTCTCTCCAAACTCATGTTCTTAAGAAATATATGCTGTTCCAGAGAGGCCCTCTGGGCACTTGTTGGAGGTACTTGCCTTCATTCCCTGATTGCTTGTTCCCATGGAAAATTGCTAGTGGTAATTTGGAGCCACTGTACTATTTTTTGTTTGGGGGGCTTTTTTTTTTTTTGGTCAGTCGTGGGGGTTGACCTCGGCTTGGGCGCTGTCCCTGCACTCTCAGCTCAAGGCCTACTGCTTGAGCCACATCACCACTTCCTGTACTATTTTTTATGTGAATATGTGTATGAATTATTTTATCACATTGGCATACATTACAGAAGATACTAAGATTTAAAGTAGCATAAAATTTTAACTAAATTAGAGCTTTTTTATGGTTGGAACATTTCCTTCATGATTATTATGACAGCTTTCCAAATTCAACTGATTTTTATCAACCACTTCCTAGCTTGTCTTTTATCAGATGTATCTGATTCTCCAGTAGAGAAATAAACTAATATTTTATTGTAGAATATTTTCAGATTCTGCATAAGCAGCAAGATAAAAATCCATTGATCCTTCCTGCCTGTCTCACCCAACTCCATCATCTAAACCCTTGAAAATATATCTTGCTTCATCAATTGGGAGAAAAAAACCTTGTCAATTCAAGAAAAATAGATCATGTTACTTATTGTGTCAAGGACAAAAATACTTACAGTTTTATCTTAACATGTTTGATTATAGGTCACACCAGATGTATTATATGTTTGGTTTCCTGTTCCTGGTATTTATCATTTTGGTCATTACATGTTCTGAAGCAACTATACTTCTTTGCTATTTCCACTTATGTGCAGAGGTATGTATTAGCAATATTCACTTATTTAATTCATAGACAGCATTTATAACTTCAGCATGTTGCAGCTTGAATACTGTTAATGGAGATCATTTATGTAGAGATAAATTTATTATGAAAGATTAAGCCTGTATTCCAAATCAAAGGTACCCTTACTGGGAAGGTGAGATAGGAAGATGTTGTGTCTTAAGACCAGCCTATAAAAACATGTGTGTATGTGTGTGCCAGTACAAAAAAAAATCTCTTGGATTTATCTGATTGGGCTAGCTTTCTTGTTTTTTGTTTTATTCTTTTTGGGCTAGTCGTAGGGCCTGGACACAGCTCCCGAGCTTTTTTGCTCAAAGCTAGCCTGGGCTGGTTTTTTTTTTTTTTTTAATTTTTTTTTTTTCGGTCGTGGGGCTTGAACTCTGGGCCTGGGCGCTGTCCCTCAGCTCTTCAGCTCAAGGCAAGCGCTCTACCACTTGAGCTACAGCGCCACTTCCGGTTTTCTGGTGGTTTATTGGAGATAGGAGTCTCACGGTCTCTCCTGCCCGGGCTGGCTTTGAACCGCGATCCTCAGATCTCAGCCTCCTGAGTAGCTAGGATTACAGGCGTGAGCCACCAGCGCCCGGCATCCTGTGCTGGTTTTGAACTGGGATCCTTAGATTTCAGCTTCCTGAGTAGCTAGGATTATAGGCATCAGCCACCAGCACTTGGCCAAAAAAAAAGACTCTTATAATTTATAACGTAGATATTCTTAGCAGGAAAATTACATAGGGAAAATTCACTGAAAAGTTTTAGTGACTACAGTGTAATGATTTCTATTTGTGGCAACATCAAAGTAACGGCATCCTTGGATAATAGGTAAAATTGATTTTTAAAGATTAGACCATTAAGCCAGGTAGCTAATAGCTTACTTCTTACCCTATCTACTCAGAAGGCTGAGATCTAGGATCATGGTTTGAAGCCAGCCCAGGCAGGAAAATCTATGAGACTCTTATCTCCAGTTAACCACTAAAAAAGCCAGATGTAGAGTTATGGTTCAAGTAGTAGTAGATCACTAGCCTTGAGCAAAAAAGCTAAGGAACAGCACCCTGTCCTGAGTTCAAGCCCTGGGACCAGGACCAACACATACATACCAAAAAGATCCAGTCTTAAGTAGTTACTTACCATATAAGAAAGTCTGTTAAACTGAATGTATTGAGTTTATTTAAACATTTTTATTAACTCATATTAGTTGTACAAGGGGTTTCATTATATCACTGTATCATTATATTGTGGTCTTTCTTATCCACCCTACCTTTTTTATCATTTTAATTTGCTTTATTCTATTTGATGCATGCATATAATGTACTTTGATCATATTCACTCCCTCAGTACCCTCTGCTTTCACCCTCCCCCACTTTCCCATTTGTTAACTTCCAAAACTGTCTCCTTTTTTGTTGTTTTTTTACATTGAGGTTAAATTCACATAAAATTGACAATTTTCAAGTAAACAACTGACTGATTTACTATTTAGTGTTCTACAAGCATCGCCTCTGATTTTGAAATGCCTTTATACACATGCATACTTATTAAGCAGTTATTTATTTCCCATTTCCCTCTTTACTTGGACCCAGATCATCTCTTGGTTTCTAAACATTCAGTATAGTTTTTAATGGATTCATACAGTATGTAGGTTTTTGTGTCTGGTTTCTTTGACTTAGCAGAATGTTTTCAAGGTTCATTCACTGTGTAGCATATGTTAGTACTTTACTCCTTTTTATAATTGGATAATATTCTACTGTATATGTATTAACACCTGTTTGTTAATATATTTATCCACTGATGTACACTTGAGTCATTTCCACCTTTGGGCTATTACAAATAATGTTGCTATGAATATTTATAAACAAGTATTTGGGTACTTGTTTCATTTCTGCTGGAGTCATACATGGTAATTCTGTAACTTTTCCACGCCCCTTTTGATAAGGGATTGAAATCAGGGCCTTGTGCGAGCTAGACAAGTACTATGTTACTCTTACCCAGGCCTTCTACATTTTGTTTGTTTGTTTTGGAAGTTGAGCAACGATTTATTTAAGTAAAACAGGATAATGTAGGGAGAAATAGGAAAAGTGAAGAGAAATATCTCCTTCCCACACAGGAGATGGGAATGAAGAACATTCCTCATTTGATATTTTAGTGTGTTTTCACATAGGGTCTTATGCATTTGCCCAGCTGACCTTGGACTATGGTTCTCCATCCATGTAACTGGGATTACAGGCTTGTACCACCACACCTGACTTGCTTGGGCTGCCCTGAACCTTAGTCCTTCCATTTCTGGCTCCCAAGTAGTTGGAATTACAGGTATAATCCACTGCGTAGCCATTATTTGACTTTTTGAATAACTGTATTTTTCATTCCTACTGGTTATATACAAGGTTACATTTCCTCTGAATTCTTTTTTTTTTTTTTTTTTTGCCTGTCCTGGGGCTTGAACTCTGGGCCTGGGCATTGTCCCTGAGCTTCTTTTGCTCAAGGCTAGTGCTGTACCACTTTGAGCCACAGTATCACTTCTGACTTTTTCTGAGTAGTTTATTGGAGACAAGAGTCTCACAGACTTTTCTGCCCTGGAAATTACAGGCATGAGCCACCAGCGCCCAGCTCCTCTAAAATCTTACCAAGGCTTTCTATGTATTTTTTTAGTTTATATTTTATACCCAAACTACTGTAAAAGGATATCACATTTTGATTTTCATTTTCCACTGGCATCTTTTTTAGTTAGTTGGCAATTGGGATATCTTCTTTGAGGAACTGTGGATTCAAGTCCTTTTCCTAATTTTTAATTTTTTTAAATTTTTTGTCCGTTCATGGGGCTTGATCTCCAGAGTTTAAGTTCCTGGGCGCTGTCCTTCAGCTCTTCAGCTCAAGGCTAGTGCTCTACCACTTGAGCCACAACACCATGTAAGGTTTTTTTGAGTGGTTTATTGGAGATAAGAATCTCATGGACTTTCCTGCCCATGCTGGCTTTGAACTATGATCCTTGGATCTCAGCCTCCTGAGAGGCTGAGCCACTGGCACCCGGCTTCCTTTTCCTATTTTTAAAGTGGGACAGTGGAGTGTTTGTGGTGGTGGTGTAAGAGGTTATTATGTTTGGCACTGGTGGCTCATGCCTGTAATCCTAGCTACTCAGGAGGCTGAGATCTAAGGATCGTAGTTCAAAGCCAGCTTGACGTTGCAAACAAAATTTAAAGACTACCTTATTGAAAAACAAAAATGAAAAGCCAGCTATGGGGTACACATGGTGGAGGGTACAGCAGGAGGATTATGAGTTTGAGACCAACTTGAGGGGGAAAAAAGACAAAGAAAAGAAAGAGGGGAAAATAGCTTTTATTATTCCTTCAAAAGAGATGGTTAAAATTTTAATAGAGATTACATTGACTGCATAGATCACTTTGGAGACTAGTTCTTAAGAATATTATTCCTTCTTCCAGTTTATAAATATGGTTGTCGCCAGGTGCCAGTGGCTCACGCCTGTCATCCTAGCTACTCAGGAGGCTAAGATCTCAGGATCATGATTCAAAGCCAGCCCGGGCAGGAAAGTCTGTGAGAGTCTTATCTCCAATAGATGACAAGAAAACCAGAAATGGTGCTGTGGCTCAAGTGGTAGAGCGCTAGCCTTGAGCTGAAGAGCTGAGGGAGTGTGCCCAGGCCCAGAGCTCAGGCCCCGCAACCAAAATTAATTAATTAATTAATGTTGTCTTTGTATTTAGGTTTTCTATAATTTCTTCCAGCAATGTTTTTTAGTTTTCAGTGAGTAAGCCTTTGATTCATTTGGTTAAATTTGTTTCTGGGTATTTTTATGTCTTTGAGTTGTTGTTTTTATAAGAACACAGTCATACTGGAGAATGTTGCTTAGTGCTAGAATGCTTACCTAGCAGGTACAAGATCTTGGATTTAATCTCAAGCAGTGTGTGTGCGCACACACACACACACACACACTTGTGCACACACAGCTGATTTTGGTATATAGAATTTCTAACCTTTGAAGTTTACTGAATTCATTTGTTATAGTGGAATTTTTTGTGTATAGAATCTTGAGGATTTTTTTAATCTTTAGAAGTATGTTTTTAGCATATTCAAAATGGTTGGAGAGATCATGAAGCATTTTCTTTTAAAAATGCTCCTGGTAATCTGTAAACCACTTTATGTAAAAGCAAAAAGAGCTATTTTAATCATTTACCTTGTTTAAATTGTGTAGTAATAACTGGATATGAAGTTCAGGTGGGTCTTAATACTGTGATCTTACTAATGTGAAATCAACTAGAGTTTTAATATATTTTAAATTAATTTTGAACCATGTAAGTAAGCTTTTGTACACTACTTTTCCTTGAGAATCATAAATTGTGAGATTTAGCTTAACCCTTAATTACTCATAGGCAGCTTAACTTTTTTCCACATCCTGTTAGCCAGTTTTTAAGGAATCCCACAAGGGAGCGCTGCTTAGCACTGTGAGTGCGGAGGACATGTAGGACATCCAGTAGAAGCCTGGGACTGGAATTGGGACAAAAATTGGGGTTTGGAGGCTTCCCCTGAACTGCGCTTGTTCTGGAACTTTATCTACCTACAGAGTGTCTAATAGTTGGAAAGTAATTCTTGGTTTTGACCATTTTTTCCTTCTCTCCACAGGATTATCATTGGCAGTGGCGCTCATTCCTTACCAGTGGCTTTACTGCAGTTTATTTCTTAATATATGCAATACACTACTTCTTTTCAAAACTGCAAATTACAGGAACAGCAAGTACAATTCTGTATTTTGGTTATACCATGATAATGGTCTTGATCTTCTTTCTTTTTACAGGTAAGAAAGATTACTTTGAGTTAGTTTTAGACTATTTATATCTACTTTCTTTTTATAAGATCCACGAAGGCTCTTCTCTTCTGTGCTCCCAGATTTAGCCCTCAGTATGACTAAGCATTGTTTAAGCCCCCTGTGAGCTCCCTGCAGCTCAGATAACCAGAGGTGATCAAACCAGAATACAAGGGAAGAAGTGGGGTCTGGGTTCATTGTGTTCAAGGGCAGGACACTGTACTAGTCATCTCTATCACGCTGTTTACCTCAGTAGTGCCCATGGACCTCCTCTTCCCTCTCCCCTCTCCCTTTTCTCATCTATCCTTAGCCTCTCCCCTTTACTTTTCCTTTCCTTTTCCTTTTTCCCCTTCCCCCTTCCCCCTTTCCTTTCCTTTTCCTTTCCTTTTCCTTTCCTTTTCCTTTCCTTTCCCTTTCCTTTCCCTTTCCTTTCCCTTTCCTTTCCCTTTCCCTTTCCCTTTCCCTTTCCCTTTCCCTTTCCCTTCCCTTCCCTTTCCCTTCCTTTTCCCTTCCCTTTCCCTTTCCCTTCCCTTCCCTTTCCCTTCCTTTTCCCTTCCCTTTCCCTTTCCCTTCCCTTCCCTTTCCCTTCCTTTTCCCTTCCCTTTCCCTTTCCCTTTCCCTTTCCCTTTCTCTTTCCTTTCCCTTTTCCTTCCCTTTCCTTTCCCTTTCCTTTCCCTCCCCTCCCTTCCCCTCCCCTCCCTTCCCCTTCCCTGTCTGATGGTCCTGGGGTGTTAGGGCCCAGGAGCTGTCCCTGGTTTGTTTGGTTTGGGTTTCAGTTTTTTGGCATTTTGGTTCCCCCACCCTCAAGGATAGCACTCTACCACTTGAGCCACAGCTCCACTTCTGGCAGTGGGGGGGGGGGGGGGGATGGGGCAGGATAGTTAGTTGGAAATAAGGGTCTCATGGAACTTCCTGCTGAGGCTGGATTCAAACTGATCCTCAGAGTCAGCCTCCTTAGTAGCTAGAATTACAGGTCTGAGCTTCTTGAGTGCATGAGCTTCCTTTTTCCTTCTCTAGAAAGAAGCAAAAAGCTATCACTACCTAAATTTAGTATAACATATATTGGGAACATAGTAAGGCTGAGTGATACTACAAAAGACAGTCATGGAACACTTCTAATTCTGGAAATTCTAACCTATTGTGTTTTTTTGTGTGTGTGCCAGTCTTACGGCTTGAACTCAGGGCCTAGGTGCTACCTCTGAGCTATTTAGCCCAAGTCTAGCACTCTACCACTTGAGCTACAACTTTTAAGTCAAAAAAAAATCTGTTACCTAAAAAAGATTCCACTTTTAGTATATATATTATATCCCACAGAGTTGCCAAAATAGTGATCAAATATTTTTGTCTTTAACATTATTTTTCTGAAATTAAGCCCAACCGTTTTCTAAGTCTTTTGAAGACTCAGAAGGTGCATTTGTGGTGAGCCTTGCACACAGCATATAGCATGTCCCAGTGCTTATACAGTATAAGAATGATCACAAAACTTCCCAAAAGAATAGTTCACACATGGTCTTGATTTGGAAAAACATTAATACCTTTTCTGTGAATTATACTAAAACAATAGTGAAACACAATTGAGACATTAAACGTTAACCTTACATGGGGGCCAAAGCCACCCCTTATTTGTGTGTGCTTCTACCTATTAAATATATCTTAGGGGATAATACTGAGAAAAATGGCAAGTCTTTATTTTTTAAATATATATGTATATTTTACATCTTAGTAAATGTTCCTTTGCAAAACAAAGTCTAAACTTGTTTAGTAACTCTAAATATAGTTTAGAAGGATTCTATATCTGAAAGCAGGAAAAATGAAGTCTAGCCATACTTAGATCCACATGGTCATAAAGTAATTCCTTAATATCCGAACTTGATTTTTGTCACAGTGAAAAGATGTCTCCATCTAGCATTCAAATTCTTCAAATTCTATATACCAAAAAGATGAGGAATGTATTTGTTCCTTGAACTGTGTCAGTCACACTGCATAGCAGTCTTTGGAGTTAACTAGGACAGAAAAATACCTGTTTAATGAGGTAAAGGAATAGACTTGGAACTAGGCCCTGTTGGCTCATGCCTGTACTAAGCAACTTGGGAAGCTAAGAACTGGAAGATCAAAGTTCAAGGCCAGCCCATACAGAAAAGTACATGAGACTCAGTCTCCAGCAAAAAGCAAGGCCAAGAGGTGTGGCTCATTAGTAGAGCACCATCCATGCAAGCATGACAATTATAAGCCCTGAGTTCAGAACCCCCTCTCCCAGTACAAACAAATAGTCAACTTGTCCAAGCACTGTATACTCATTTCATGGAGGAGTTTGATCTGTTCTCTGGTACCATACTTGGGATCATCTTTGTTAATTATCCTAATTATAATCACTTTTTTTTTCTTCTTTTTTTTTTCTTTTTGCCAGTCCTAGGGCTTGACCTCTGGGCCTAGGTGCTGTCCTTGAGCTTCTTTATGCTCAAGGCTAGCACTGTACCACCTGAGCCACAGCACCACTTCCGGCTTTTTCTGAGTAGCTTATTGGGGATAAGAATCTCACAGACTTTTTTGCCTGGGCTGGCTTTGAACCATCATCCTCAGATTTCAGCCTCCTGAATAGCTAGGATTATTAGCGAGAGCCACTGGCACCAGTTTAAGTATATCACTTTTAACATTTTGTAGACATTTGCTTTGCTTTACTATAATTCTTTGGAAACCAATGGTTCCTAATAACTATTTCTGTGAATCTGATACTAGAGTATTCATATCAGACCTTGAAAACATTTCATAACGATTCCATTGTGTGATAAAATGTTACATTGGAAAAGAAATAGGACATCTTTTTTTTTAATTTAGTCTTTTGTATGTAATAAAGAAAATAATGTGTTTATGGAAAGCTTATAATAGAAATATAAAATAATATAATAATATAAAGATCTTAGTTTTTATAAGAAATTTGATTTGAAATGTTTTTATATTTTCAAATAATGCTCATAGATCTATGGCATTTTCTTAGACAGTTGTAATTTATAATTTTTTGCATTTTTAAAGAAACTAATTGTCTTAAGTCTATATTTTGGTATAACTTTTCATTGAAAAGAGGGCTTATTTTGTTTTTGTTTTTTGTTTTTTTCTTTTCTAGGAACAATTGGCTTCTTTGCATGCTTTTGGTTTGTTACCAAAATCTACAGTGTGGTGAAGGTTGACTGAAGAAGCCCAGTGTGTCCAGTTAAAAGAGAAATAAATTAATTTCTTCATCAACCAAGAGCTGTTTTTGTGACTCCCTTAAGTTTTATCAGACTTATTGGCCTAGTAATCCTTCAGAAACAACATACTTCTCAGTACACCTCTTCCCACGAAATGTGGTTTTGACACTAAGGCATTTGTATTGTGATTTGATTAAGTATATATTTAGTTGTTCTCAGTGAAGAGCAAATTTAAATATTATGTGCATTTGTAAATACAATAGGTATAGAGTTTTCAATACTCTAATGGCAGAATAGAGGAGGCCATAATACTGATGAAATCCATAACAGTTAATTGTAAATAGGATTTTCTAGGCTCGGTAGGTGGAAAGAATTATTTTTCTTTGAAGGAAATAACTTTTTATCATGGTAATTTTGAAGGATGATTCCTATGATGTATTCATGGGGGGGGGAGTATAGCTTTTAAAAATCTTGTATTGGTTGTAACTGTCCATATCTTATTACTTTTCTGTGTTGACTTCATTATTCCCATGGTATTGGCCTTTAAACTATGTGCCTCTGAGTCTTTCAATTTATAAATTTGTTATCTTAATAAATATTGTAAAAACATCTTCATTGCATCATTACCTGTTATATATTCAAGGAGATTCTGTAAATACGAATTTATTGACCAAGGATGTTTTAAGATGATTTATACTTTTTATTGCATTTTACTGAATTTGTTACTCTTACCCTACTTGAATTTCAGTCGAAGTGAAATGTCAGTCTTTTGGTTTTATGTCAGGTCTAAGCTTTTCACTGTGAAATAATAATGGAGACTTCAGTCATGCCTACCTAGCCATAAATGACATGTTAGGTATTTAATATGGGCCTTACATTACAGATTTCATATTCTTGAGGGTTTTTTTAATATTTTTTTTGTTTTTTTAAGTCAGGTTTTGTCTTCATGATTACATTGTTTTAGATTTTACAAATCTTTTGCTAGAATTAGAAGTCACTATTTCTTTGTCTCATTCATCTGACTAATTGAAAGTTTGAGATGACTTCAAAGGTATTAAGTCTGCTTATGTCTATGAGAACGTTATTTGTATTAAGGGGTTTGCTGCTTGCTGCTTATGAGAACAAAGACATTGTCATTAAAATTATAACTAAAGTTTTAGCTTCACTTATATGATGTTGCTGGACTCTTCCTGAATAATTTTATACCACTCTCTTTTTTAAAATCCAAATATAGATGGGCATGGTGGCTCAAGCCTGAAATTCTAGCTACTTGGTTAGGCAGAGATTGAGGGAAATCACAATTTGAAACTAGATGGGCATAAAAAACAAGTTCATAAGATTCGTCTCAATCGGTAGCTCAGTGTAGTGTGGTGCATCTAGGTCGGCCCAGGTATATAAGGTAAGAGAGGTCTTACCTGGAAAATAACCAGTGCAGCAAAGGACCTGTAAAGTGGCTCAGTAAGCATAAAGCATTTAGTTTAATCCCAGTATCATCACAAAAAGAAAAAAGAACTGAGCCAGGCACCATGGTGCATGCTTGTAAATCCTAACTCAAAAAGCTGAGAAAGGAGGATCATCAGTTTGAGGCCAGCCTAGGTTAAATTTTAACCTAGCTGGGCACCAGTGTCTCACCCCTATAATCCTAGCTACTCAGGTGGCTGAGATCTGAGGATCGAGGTTCAAAGCCAGCCCAGGCAGAAAAGTCCATGAGATTCTTCAATAAACCACCAGAAAACCAGAAGTGGTGCTGTGACTCAAGTGGTAGAGTGCTCTCCTTGAGCTCAAGAGCCAAGGGACAGAGTTCAAGCCCCATGACTGACGACAAAAAGACTTTAAAAAAAAAACCTGATCTCTTGGTTTTGAACAGAGAAGAAAAGAACTCTAGTTATTTTTAACCTCTCACAGGATTTAAGAGAACTTTGTTTTCCAGTTGATCCTTTACCTTTTGTACAACTTTTACCATTTTGAGATAGGCTGATTAACTTTTACCATTTTGAGATAGCCTGATTAACTAAACAAAGGACAAAGTTTGGATTCAGATCCCTGCTTAGTTTGATGGGTACAAAGGTAAAGTTCCTTTAATCTTTCCTTCATTGAGGGCTTGGAAACTACTTACTGGTTTGGTCTTGATTTTCTTTATAAGCTAACAATGAGTAGGTAGCAGGTGTGAGAATACAGAATAATTTAGTATTCTTTATATGGACCGCAAGTGCTTTAGATTTAAGTTTCAGGTTTGGAGCTATTTGTATGCTAGCCAGTTGAGTATCCCAAGTTTATTGATTGACATGTCTCACTAATTTTTTTTGGTCAGTCATGGGGCTTGAACTCTGGGCTTGGGTGCTGTCCCTTTGCTCTTCAGCTCAAGGCAAGTGCTCTACTGCTAGAGCCACAGAGCCACTTCCGGTTTTCTAGTGGTTTACTGGCGATAAGAGTCTCACAGCCTTTCCTGCCTGGTCTGGCTTTGAACCTCGATCCTCAGATCTCAGCCTCTGGAGTAGCTAGGATTACAGGCGTGAGCCCGGCTATCTCACTAACTTTTTATCCAGGCTGGCCTCAAACTGAGATCCTCCCAAACTCTGCTTCCCACATAGGCTGAGGTCACTGCACCTGCCCCTAAACTCAAAACATTTTGAGCGTGTTGGTACTCTAAAAGTTTGGAATTTCTGGACTGGATATGTAGCTCAGTGGTAGTGTTTGCCTAATATGCACAAAGGCCCTGCATTAGATCACCAGCACCACCAAAAAGAAAAGAAACAATTTCAGAGTATGTCAGATTTTCAGATTAGTCTTCAACCTGTAAAATTATTAGAGAAAAATTCAGCTTGGCAGGGATAGTGAGGACAGTGGCAAATCTCCCAGACCATCTTGAGGGGTCAGCTGCTGGTACTGGTTTAGGATGTTCTCCCAGCAAAGTGCACCTTGCCCATGGCACATGCTGGTGGTCCCTGAGCCCTGTAGCAGTGGTGTTTGTGATATGAGTGTCCAAGGGGCCTTCTAGCTGAAAGCTCTTGTGAAGGAAGCAGATATACTGAAGGCCTAGAATGAGAGGATCAGCATTTTCCAGCTGGAGCACTGTTTAGGGAAAGTGGCCTTTTGTCTACCCCATCTGTTGTCTAACACATCAAGGTAATTAGATGGCACCTTGATTGCCTAGCATTTCCCATGGCTTCTCGCTCCAGCTATGTCTGTCCCACATCCCAGGTGAGGTCAGCCTTACCTGGCCTTTCTGGCTGTCCCCCCCCCCCGAATCCTCTTTCTCCAGTTTTCCATGAGTTCAAATCCTCTCTCTCCTTGGTAAGTTTTTAAATATGTTCAGCTTTATGATGATGTTTGTATGTTTTTCAGTGCTGATACCAGGGCTTGAGTTCAGTGACACAAACCCTTACTTGCTTTCTTGTTTATGACTTATGCATAATCAGCACCAGATTTTTTTTTTTTGCCAGTCTTGGGGCTTGAACTCGGGGCCTTTGCACTGTCCCTGAGCTTCTTTTGCTCTACCATTTGAGCCACCTCCTGGATTTTCTGTTTATGTGGTACTGAGGAATCGAACCCAGGGCTTCATGCAAGCTAGGCAAGCACTCTACCACTAAGCGACATTCCTGCCCCCTCCTTTTTAAAAAAAAAAAAAAACACCAGAGATGGCTTCAAAACAGGATCCTCTGATCTCAGCTTCCTGAATAGCTTGGATTATAGGCATGTGTCACTGGCATCTGACTATGATTTGATTTTTAATAAGAATAAACAAGTAACAATGAATTCCTCCTTTGCTTGTAAATAACAAGACATTGTTGTGCTTAGTATCTAAACTAACAAAGAAAATGTTTCTCCAAATTTATATTTTTTCTCCTGTAGTACAAACAGATTGTAACCATAGTCTTGGCCTGCAAAGATATGTGTAGAAAATAACCCTTATCTTTCTCAAATACTCTTACTTTCATAAAGTGAAACCTTCCTTCTGATTTGATTATTCTTAGCTATGTGATTTGAGTGTGAACACTTAAAAATCATTTTTTGTACTTTAATTCTGACTTTCTTCAACTTGTTCATTTAAACTTCTTACCCACAGTCTTATATTTTGGTATACATTTCTGCTTTTATTCTTGGACCCAAAGACAATTTAACATTCTCATTCATGAATTATTCTGTAAAGAAAATATGGCTCTAAAACTGTCCTGTTTTATCCTTTGAATATGTTTAACAAAAACTAGACCATATGAATGATCTGGACCTTGATAATAGCCATCTAAGAAGAGGTCACAAGTTGTTGCACAAAGTATAGTTTCCTGAGGACTTACAGAAAGACTCATGGTCATAGAGCAGCAAGACCCATGAGTCCCTGCAACTTAGGTCAGAGGGGAGGGGCTTACATAATTAATGACCAGGACAAAAGTGGGTTTCATCCAACCTGGACCATTCCTAGCTTGTATGGAGATACCACTGAAGACATCAAGCATGCTGTCACTGACAGCACCAGGGTTGGGCCTGAAAGCTACACATCACTGCTTGCGTTATCTGTAGTGTGCAGGAAAATGGGGAGTAGGAAAGGCCAGGGGATACTTGGAGGGTTACAGCCTCACTATAGTTTCAGGCAGATCAAGCTGGATTTTAATAATACTTTGTATATAAAGGCATGTATTTGTTGACTGGACTTTTGGTGATGAGTAGTAATGATTTGAACATTTTAAATTAGTGTATAAGGACTTAAAGACACCATTCCAACATTTCATTTAGTTCTCAGATTTTGAAACGTGCTATTTGATTCCAGAAAGTTATGCATTTTAAGATACATTCAGCAACATTGACTTGTATACTTGTTCTCTGATCACTGACAGTTGTTAAAACAAATCAGCACTGGCAGAACTTGGCCAGCTCCTCTCCACACTTAGTTTGAACTGTTACCCATGGAACCAGCCCAAACAAAGCTACAAAGAGGCTAATTGAAATCAGAATGCTGGGTCACTTCTCATTCAAACAAAACAGATGGCCCTTCTGCCATACTTCTGTCAAACTTGGGGAGCAGGGAGAGCCTTTAAAGGCATTTTTTACCTCCCACACATGCTTAACTCGCTCCTTAAAGGAATTACACATTGTTCTGAAATGCCTGCATGGGGGAAGGGAGGCTTTTCTAAAGCAGAGCTTGTTTCCCTTTATTCCAAAAATTAACTGAGAAAGCATTTTGGTAAGGACATTCAGAACTTGAGTTTTCAGCTCAGATTATGGAAATTTGTTTTTATTTATTTTTGTACCAGTACTAGTACTTGAACTCAGGACCTGGATATGCTATCCCTTAGCTTTTTCTCTGGTGCTTTACCACTTGAGCCATACCATCACTTCTGGCATTTAGTAGTTAATTGGAGATCAAGAGTCTCACAGATTTTCCTGCCAGGCTGCTTCTGAACATCAATCCTTGGATCTCAATTTCCTGAGTAGCTAAGATTACAGGTATGGCCATGGGCTCCTGCTAGGGTGCCATTTTGTAATAGAAATCATGATTACCTCTGCCCTTCGCAGTATTGAAGTTTGTAAACACAGTAGCTTGGCATTTGCAATATTTATCCAAATTTTAGCTGGTTTTCTATGTTTAGAGTTTCTGTATATTATAAAAAAAATCATTATTTTC